GTAGATCGTGTTTTGTATGTTGTGAAACGTCGTCTTTCGTGAAATTTTCTTTAATGATGTTTAAATAACTAGAGAGTAGTGTGATTTCATGTCGTACTTTCAAATGTTTAGATGTTTCTTTTGGTGAGACATTTGTTATTGGGATTTCGTTTTCTAATATCGAAATATAACTATATATTATTGCGAAAACTTCATTGGTGAATATGGAGTTTGCTCTTTGTGAGTTATGGTATTGGATGCTTTTTATATATTCTGAAAAAACTTTTGAAAATTCTAAATCAAGATCGTCTGTTTGAATTGTATATTTTCTATTATTATGGTTTGGTGAGGTGAATTCTATGGAGTAGATTCCATACTGTTGTGTTATGTTGCATATATCTTTTAGATAGTGATCTATGATTTGTCTTTTGATTTTTACATCGGGGAACTCTGTTTTACATGGACTGATTCCGGGTTCAAATAAATTTACGAGTAAATTTTGACAAAATATGTGTTGTCCTCTATCAGTATCTGCGTCTACTATAAAAGGAAAGATTTCATCATCATCTGGAGTTTCTTCACCTGGGGTGTGCGTTGAACTCATTTTTTCGTTCGATTACTGTTAATATGTAATTATTAATGTGTCGAATTGGTTGATTCCAATTGTATAAATGTACTGGTTTGTGTTTGTACTGCTTTTTTATTCTTCTTTTTCCTCTTTGTGATGAATTTGAAGTTGTTTCTGAGTCAGAGAAATATAATTGATCGTGAATTGGGCAATTTTTATCTATTGATTCTTTTAGTTTGTAAAGTTCGTCTAAACTGTTGGTTTCTGATTCTGAAAATGCGTTTCGATTTTTTGAAAATCTTTTTCGTGTTATTTGTCTTTGTTTCGTTATTATTTTTCTTTTTAGTGTTTGTCGTTTTGTTCGAATGTATCCAACTGTTTGTGTATGAGGTGTGATTACAAGGTCGTATTTTTTGTTATCTATTTCACAATTGTGTAAAACGATTGTTTGTTTATTTCCTAGGTTTTTAAATGACATAAGGTTTAGAATGACGGATGCAAAAGGTTGTTAAATGATTTCTATTTTCCTAAACTGTTAGTTCTTACGATTTTTTGGTTAGCTTAACCTGGGTCTATTTGTTCAGGGTTGGAGAGAAAAGTATATCGATTCCGAAGAATGATTTTTTACTTTCTCGTGGCTAGTATAAGTTAAGGTGTTAACTTACTTAATCTTACTTAGGGGTAGTGATTGTGTTCAAGGGTTGGAGAATAGTAAATCGATCCACAAGGTTCAGGTATAATTAGAACGCGAGTAGTTCGTTAGATACTATTTTAAACTTACTAAGTCTAAGATTTATCCTGGGTCTGGTAAGAGGGGGGGTCAAGTGAAGGATGAATAACCGAAGTTCTTCACTGTTTATCCTAATTTGAATGATTAGTTTTGTTTAAAAATTTCTATTAGTCTTAGGTCTTTAGAAAGGGTTGGGTAGTGAATCGACGTTTGAGGTCGTTAGACACTAATTAAGTGGGTGGGGGAGAACAAAGTTGTTCTGTTTGATCCAAGGATAAGCCTTGATGATCAAATTTGAAATTTAATTAAGTAGAAAATGATTTAAGATCCAAGGATAAGCCTTGATGATCTGGTTTTAAAATTAAGTGAATTTAAGTTTTAATAAAATTTTAAATGTGTGTAAAGGAAAGATTTAGTGTTTTGATGATATTAGTGGGTTTATGATTGCTGTTATGTTTTAGATGATGAAGCTGGAACAACAGGATGATTTATGATTACTAACCATTTATTGTCATGCTACTAATTTTTATTTTTATTTTCCAATAAATATTTTTCAAACATGTTTTGTATAATACTGCAGAGTTTTAGGAAAACGATCTTAGATCTTTTTATCAATCGTTATTGTATATTAATAAATTTGTTTAGCGCCTGAAATGATTTTGAAGAGTAACTTCAAGGTTTTATGTTTGCAAATGGAAATCTAAATTCATTGCAAGTAGTATTCGAAATATAAAAGTTTGTTCTGGCTTTTGCCGAACTATCATATAACTATACGGCAAGTTTCTACTTTGTCGTATGTCGTCTTTGGTTCGAGGTCTTCTTCCAATTCCGGGTAGTTCTGTTATGGTTCGGAATATTGGCTCTGATCTATTGAGTCGTAGAGACATTTCGATTAAATTATTGTCGTTTAACATTTTTGTAAATGTTTTTGTCTAATTTCTAATCTATTTTGGTTAATTCTAATCTATTAAGGTCTTGTTCGAGACTTATGGTCGCACCAGATGAGTTAGGACCGAAGTGTAACTCATAGAGTAATTTCGGATAGGGTACACCGTCTGCTCGTCACGCTATCTTATTTTCGGCCGGATAGATTCGTGCAACTTCTTAGTCTAATACCGATCCTAATCTTACTCTTATACTATCTAGTCTCAGGTTGTTTAACTAGTCTCTGCTAGGCTCAATAGATCTAGGGTATACTGGTTTATTGCGGCTGCTGAAGTGCTCGGGAGAGTCCAACTAATTTCTAAGTTAAATTCAAATCTCTCTGGTGCTGAAATTACAAGTAACTTCAGCACTTACAAATAAGTGGGTTGTTAGTTAGATGGATCATGATTGGTTAATATTAAATACTTTACATTGGTAAAACATTTAATTTATCCAATCATAAAATGTAGTTTAGATCAGGTTCCAGTCTCTCAAGTCCATTTGTTCATTTTTCCTGGCAAGACAAAAAACACTGGGCTCGCACAACCAAAATTGAACTCGGTTAACCATCATATTTTTCCCAGCTTGATGTCTTACAATTTTCCATTTTCAAGTTCATCTTTATTTATCACTGTCTTGATCACAAAACCCCCAAAATTGTTGTCGTCGTGTTTTTTTTCAAACTTCAGATTTACGTTTGTTCCGTTTTGCGAAAATACTTAAGAAAGCAGCAATTGATCAAATAGATAGAATGTAAGTATTTTCGCAAAACGGAACAAACGTAAATCTGAAGTTTGAAAAAAAAACACGACGACGACAACAATTTTGAGGTTTTTGATCAACTGCTGCTTTCTTAAAATATCTTGCAAGTTGCCCTCGGCTACCTCGTCTATTGCAAATGATATTCACAGCCCATTCCTTCCGTTTACCGGTTCTCTCGTGGCAAAACGCTCACTCTGTCCCGATTTAGTTGATGGCCCTGGCTTAAATTCGTTCCTCCCGAGTTGGGAAGCCCCCACTACACAATTGTATTTTCATCTCTTCATTCTTCATGTTGAATTTTAAAACATCTATTGCAATAGATTCCTATATGTCACCAAAGTCGCATTCTTTGGTTAAATCGATAATCTTCCAAGTTCCAAAAAAACTGTTCCACACTTTCATTGTCTCGATGTTTTCATCCGAATAAAGGGAATCTTCTTTATGTATTCCGTTCGGTTCTTTCATAAACGCGTCAAACGTCAATTTTCACAGCTCGATGAAAGTAAAATTGGCAATTTCATGATGAGGATACTTCGGGTTAAGTTACCGCTGTCCTTGTTTCCTTAGTAATACGAACAAATTGGCCTCTCCCCATGCGCTTCTTTCAAACATCCTTCGCTCATCGTCCGCTTCTCGATGGTCTTTGTCTCGCCATGATTTTTTTGCAGTGTAGTTTCTTGCCTCTGTCTCTCTCTCTCTCTCTCTCGCTGTTCCAGCCTCTAGCCTTAATTCGCGCTTCTCGCAATAGCCCAAATCGGTTTTTATTTGCACCATGCGTGCACTTGCACAACTTCATAGTATTCTCAATCAAAGTCAAACCAATTTCAAATCACTATGCTAACGCCAGCCACTGGCTATAGGCGGCATATCGATTGACAGTAACGTTGACCTTACGGGTCTTAAGACGTTACTTAGTGATAATATGCATGCCCGAGTCGAGATTTTTCACCTAATTTGAAGCAAGATTTGAGCGGTTTGAGCGGTTTTTTTTAGACAATTACGCTCAAAATCTTGCTTCAAAATGAGCGGTTTGAACGGTTTTGAGCGGTTTATCTTAAAAAAAAACCCTCAAAAACCGCTCAAATCTTGCGCGGTTTTTGAGCGGTTTTTATAGATAAACCGCTCAAAAACCGTTCAAATCTTGCGCAATTTTTGAGCGTTTTTTTTTAGATAAACCGCTCAAAACCGCCCAAACCGCTCAAATGTTGCTGGAAAATCGCTCAAACCGCCCATATCTTGAGCGGTTTTTGAGCGGGACCTCAACCCGAGTGTTCTAGGATCATAGTATAACCTCTATTCAACACCTATCATACAACCACTAAGTGTAAGCATACTATACGATTTATTCCGCTGTTGAAGTGATGATGCTGCTAGCTAATGCTGTTGAAAGATACATTGTGATTGCCCGGGGAAAGGAAGCGAAAGCTATTCTGAATACTCCAAATCGCAAGAAGTTCTACACTTCTGTGCTGGTTCTAACTTTTATTATTCCAGGAGCACTAATGGTTGATTATGGTATCAATGTCGAGGAATACGTAAGCCTTCTCGTTTAGATAATTTGATGACACATTAGTCCAGTTAGTTCAAAGCTTACACATTTCAGGAAATGTTTCGTTCAACTGAAGGTCTATTTTATGTCTGTAGATTTTTGAAAATCAACGACTTGCAACGATGAGTACTCGCTTTAGTATTTAACAAATTTGTCTCACAACTTAATCTCAGTTTTTTTTTTCAGATTTTTTTTGAGATTTTTTCAATCGTGGACGATCTTTCGCTGATAAGAATGCTTTATAAGTCTTATTCTACCGCTTAAACAGATTAATTCAATCTGAACTTGAGAAAAACAGATTATTCACGAAAACAGATATTACTCACAAAAAGATATGTTTTTGTTATAACTAACAAAACCTATTTTTAGGATGGTATCTACTGCTTGAGCTGCTGGCGTTATTCCTATGAAGATGTTCTCAAATACATTCGACTCCTTTTCAACCTGTCGGTATTTCTATTTTGTGCGTTCTTGTACTACAAGTGTATCAAGCAACTTGGAAAGTCTAATACAATCTCAAGGATCGGACTTCTGACAAAAGTAGATAAAAACCTAAGGTTCCGTTTTTTTTCAGATTAGAAAAAGCACAATTTACTTAGTAGGCAAAGGATTAACAGACGTGTTGTTCAGCTTTTTACGGCGAACCACTTTTAAGCCTACATTCAATTTTTTGGTTGAGTTTTGTAGGTTCAAAATTGTTGCCTTATCCTCGGGCTACGTGGCCAACCATGATGGACTTCGAACTAGCGACCTCGGTGCGCTCAGAAGTACTCATATTATCTCATTTTATACGCTCAAAAATTTATGTGAGCAGTTACTGACTACCCTGGTTGGCAAAAAATGCTTATCACACAAACCCATACTATGGAAAAACCTCTTGTCGTACAATTTGAGTTAGGTCCGAAGTGGTTAACTCATAGAGTAATTTCGGATAGGGTACACCGTCTGCTCGTCACGCTATCTTATTTTCGGCCGGATAGATTCGTGCAATTTTTTAGTCTAATACCGATCCTAATCTTACTCTTATACTATCTAGTCTCAGGTTGTTTAACTAGTCTCTGCTAGGCTCAATAGATCTAGGGTATACTGGTTTATTGCGGCTGCTGAAGTTCTCTTGGAGAGGCAACTAATTTCTAAGTTAAATTCAAATCTCTCTGGTGCTGAAATTACAAGTAATTTCAGCACTTACAAATAAGTGGGTTGTTAGTTAGATGGATCATGATTGCTTAATATTAAATACTTTACAGTGGTAAAATATCTAATTTATCCAATCATAAAATGTAGTTTAGATCAGGTTCCACCCATCCGGGTTTTACAGAGTTTTTTAGAATTGTCTTTCTGCAATTCAAAGGATGGATGATGGACGTTGGTATTTGGCGAACATCATATTCTTATCCGGTTTCTCTTGTTAGAGAAGTTCCAGGACGCTGGAATGATGGATACCAATCGTTGTGTCTTCTTGTGACAACGACTGTGTTTCCCAACGAAATCAATCTGATTTCAGAATGGTTTGCTATGACAGGTTTTTCTATTTTATGTAGAGAACTTCTTTTTGTGTTCGACCTCGTCTAGGAATGGCGTGGAGATTGTGCATGGAGGGGACGCCTTGTTACTCGGATCTGTACGTATACTTGAACATCGAGGTGGTCATTGGTCTAGTTCAATGAAGTCCTTTTCTGCGAAGTCAAGTCGTACTCTAAATCCTTTGAGTTGTGGCTGTGGACGGCATATTGGTTGTGGTTGGCCATTCTTTTTCGAGTGTAGTGGGATCATTTTGTCTTTTGATGTTCGTCTTTGTTGTTGTATGCTGATCTATAAACTGCAAGGTATAATTTACATTTTATAAAATTTTTATTACTTCAATGTTTTAGTTATGATTTTGGTTAGTTATTTTCACAAAAGCATTTTGTTTTAGTTCGGTTATTTTGAAGAGTTACTCACCCTTGAGTACCTCTTATTAAAAATAGAAGTGTGGTCACAAAGCGTGGATGTAGCGCGGTGGGTTAGACCGGCTATAGAGCATGCTCAGGACGTCCTCTCTGGTGGGTTAGGCCAGGAGTGGGAGTATGATTTCGTGCGGTTTCTATGAGAGGTCCGGTTATGTGATAACGTTTTATGTCGGGTTTGTGGTGGTTTTTCTTATGTTTCGTTGGTTGTGTCCTTTTTTCAAAAATCAAATTGTTTTTGGTATGGGTTTGTTTTTCGACTTTTTTTTGTGTTTTATTATTTCTTTCTTAGACTTTATAATAGTCTGTAAAAGAATAAATTATCCAGTTTTAAACTGGGTTAATCCGGTTTGGGTACCGTTGGTTTTCTTTTCTTAGTCATGCTGTTATTCTATGATTTGTGGTGTTTAGTAAGCTGCGTTAGTTAGTTTTGTTTAGTATATAATTCCTTTCCAACCGGGTTAAAGGAAAGTTTGAAACTTGTTATCGTGTGTTAGAGTTGTTGAGTGTGAATACTTGAAAGTGAAATTCATTATTTAAACATTTCTTCGTGGGCGAGCTGTGCGAGTTTGGATAGAATTCTTGTGCGAGTGAATGAAAATATCAAAAGGTTAGTACTGCATTTTTGTCTTATCAATTTACTACATAGAATTTTAATTTTACTGCCAGTTTTGGGGAGAAATTAAGTTACAAATTTTCATCATTACTAAATTTACTGCTTTTGGGGAAACAATTTATAAATGAATTTACTACATTGGTATGAATTTTATTATGTTTATCTAGTGCAAAATATTAATAGAGTTTAGAAGAATTTTAACAAGTCTTTTATTTTTTATTTTTCTTTTCTGATTTTTGCAGATGATCGTGGGATGAAGACTAAAAATCTAAATGAGACATGAATAAAGAATGGTTAGTATTTATTTTAAATTTATTAGTGAAGAATATGTATAAATTATACTTACCTGTTTAGTCGTCGGGGAAAAAACCGTGGGGGAAGATGTCGTGTATGATTTCGGAATTTGTTAGTAATTTTGCTAGTATGCGAATGATGTTTTTAGTTTGAAGCAGTGGCCAAAGCAATTGAAGTGCTTTAATAGTTTTTAGTTCTTCAGTGCCAACTGCAAACTCATAAGGTGTGTTTTGAATGAGGTTATATAATTTGTGATTGTATTTAGTGTTGTGGATGAATTCTAATATTGGGATTTCTATAGGTTGGATAAATTCATGTGGGATAAGGAAGGGTCTGGATTCTTCTGCGTTAAGGGTCTTCGTGATGGGACAAAATATATACATTTGGGTTATGGGATCATAATTGCGGAGGATACCGTGAAGGTTAGTATCTTTTATGCAATATGTGAAGTTAAGAAAAAATGGTGAAGTGTATTTAGAGTTAATAAACTGAAAACGGTGGTGTGTATGTCTTGATGGAGTGTGTAGATCAAAATGATTTTGTATGAAACGACAATATGTATATGTGTGGGTTTGTTTAGTGCGTAACATAATGTCGTGTGAGCAGTGCAAATCGCGTTCATGTGTTGTAAGGAAGTTGAAGGTTAGTGAAAATAATTGAAATTTTTCTTTAAAACTTTCGTAAGCTTGCATGTCGGTTAGTGCTTCAGAAATGACGTAGTCAAATTTGCGATCAAATATATTGAGTGTAAATACATATGGTGTTTTGATGAAGAATTATTCTGTGATTTGTGGGTTAGCGAAGCGATCATCATCTAAAAATTGGTCTTGCTAAGTTCGGATGATGTTATGATCGTAATATTCTAGTGTAAATTCGTTAGCTCGGGGTGCAGTGAATGTTTTTAGTGACTTTTTATATCCTATATAAGTAAGTTGTCTGTGTGTTAATGGTGTGGTGAGTCGATATAGCATATCTTGATTTCTTTCTATATCGATATGAGTATTAGATAATGGTAGGCAAAGGGGATTAGTAAAATGATAATATGATGGCCAATGAAGTGTAGGCATTAAAACATATTCATCTACAAAACTACGTGTGTCTTTAGTGTCATGAGGAGTGTTTAAAGTATATTGTGGAAATGAAGGTAAGGTGATTGCTAGAAAATCTTTCGTGTTAGTGTGATTTGGATGATTAATATATTCACGGGCTGTTCCTGGTTTTGTTGGGAATGGATGGTTTGGGAATTTTCTTTTGAAAGTGCGATAAGCTCTATTAGTGCTGTTTGATGATTCGGTGGAAGTGGATGATTGTGCTAATGATGCGGTATAAGCTGAAGAGGGTGTAGGGGTAGGTGGGTTTGAGGATTCTGTTGTGGAAGAAATCTGATTTATAGTGGGGGTGTCAAGGTGTAATGGTTGTTGTTGTAGGGTGATAAAATTATCTAGTTCTTGGGAGATTTGGGGAATATCTGGAGAATTGGATGATCGGTCTGAATGAAACGAAGAGTAGGTTGGGGTGACTTGTGAAGCGTAAGAGGGTGTAGAAATGGATGGGAGTGGGTTATTTGGTGGGATTGGTTGAAAAGGGGGTGTTGAAAAAATTGAGGAGTTGGTTTGAAAATTATTGGATGGAGATGGTTCAGAGTCTGCAAATTCATCAGGGGTTTCAATATTAGGGTTATTGAGTTGTGAAATGGAGTATAAAACTGAAATATTTGAATTAGTGTCTGAATTCATGCCTGATGATATATTAATAGTTGGGAAATCGGGTGGCGGGAAAGCAAAAAGTGGAATTATTGTAATTGGAGTGTTGAGGTTGGTTGGATGGAAATTTGAGCGGTGTAGGGATCCAAGTTGTCGGCTCATCGTGGGCTAAAAAAATTATTAATTTGAGACTGAAAAGCGGTGGTATGGGGTTGTTCGATAATTTGTTCATATGTGTTTTCATCTTGTGAATGATGTTTCATTATATGTTGTATGGGACTTGGTGATATGGTTGGTCTAAAATTTGGATTATGTGTTATTGCTAAATTTCGAAAATTTCGTGGGACTAGGGATAATGGATGGCTATGTGGTAGGGGTGGTAACTGTGGTGCTGTAGGCGTTATTTCTATATTGTTATGTTCTTCGTCGTACGTGTTCTGTCTTGTTGCTACTTTTGTATTGTACTCTTTTATCTGTGCGTCTAAAAGAATTTTGTTTATTGATGATGAAAAAATTCCAAAAAAGCCTGCAAATAGTATGCGTGCTACACTTGCTTGTCTATTTACTTGTGTGTGTATAGCGCATGTATTATAGATTCCTTTTAAGAGTGAGAAAAGAAATCTTATAAAGTTAAACATTGCGTATAAAATAGTTAATTTTTCTAAGATGTAATAGGGCCATCCTAGAAAATCGAGTAATTCATTTTTTAGTGTGACAAAGCTAAAAATATTTTAGGTGAGATATCTTGTGGTCGGTATTTTTCACCGTTTAGATATATATAGTCTTTAATGTCTTTAAAATATCCGCTATAATCTTGTGTATAGATATCTGCAAATCCTTCGGTTTCGGCAAGTTTGCGTAAGTTTTGGTCAATTGATTGTCTTTGTATAGTGTCCATTTGGGTTAATAATTCTTGGAATTGTTGTGTTCTAATGTGATGTTGGATATCGGATTTTGAATATATTCCAATTGATTGTAAGT